GAAGACTGCAAGAGCTGGGCCTGTTCAGCCTGGAGAAGAGAAGACTGAGAGGCGATCTCATCAACGTGTACAAGTATCTGAAGGGGGAGTGTCGAGAGAATGAGGCCAGCCTCTTCTCCGTGGTGCCCAGCAACAGGACAAGGAGGCAATGGGCAGGAACTGAACCACAGGAAGTTCCATCTGAACCTGAGAAAAAACACTTCTTCACTGTGATGGTGACAGAACATTGGAACAGGTTGCCCAGAGAGGTAGTGGAGTCTCCTTCGCTGGAGATATTCAAAACCCGCCTGGACGTGATCCTGCGCAATCTGCTCCAGAGGACCCTGCTGGAGCAGGGGGGTTGGTCTAGATGATCTCCAGAGGTCCCATCCAACCTAAACGATTCTGTGATTCTGTGATTCTGTGATCTGGTATATATATTAATTGACACTGACCTTTTTCAAAGTGAGCCATCCCAGCTAAATAATAAGGTGTAGTTAGGACCAAATACAAGAGATTAGCCATTCTATCAACTGCCTATAGCTTCCTCCAGATTTTTCCTTGCCCCCCCTCTTTTTTTTTTAATCTAGCATAGATATCTTTCTTTTTTTTTATTTTATCCAGCATATATATTTTGGCTTACAGGAAAAAAAATGGAGGGATCAAAAACACTGGAAAAAAATCTTTCACAATGATTTGCTTTGGGAGCTGGGTGCCTACCAGCTGTTTGTCTCTAGGAAAATCATTGCCTTTGTGACAAGTAGCCTTCAACATCAGTAGCTAAGAAAGGAAATCTGAAAGAGGGAGTCAAACATACCTGTGTAGCTGAGTAGTTTGAAATTACAGCATTATTTTAACATTATTTAGTAGTTAATTGGCAATTTTTAAAGATGTTCAAGGAATGTGGTTAGTAAGCCTGAGTTATTTACAGTACGAATATCATAGCTGTGACACAAGCCTTCCTTTGTCTATCGTATTTTATTAAAACCATAGCTTTATTAGTCCTCTTATTTGTTTTATTGATTCAAGTTGAATCAAAGATACCAACAGAAAACTCCAAAGTTTGAACAGAACTGAATTGCTCAAAAAGATTTGCAGTCATAAAGAACACAAGCAACTGCAACTCTGATATATCTGAGGCTGGTGAAACCCACCCTTTGTTATAGGGCCTTAAAAACACTGAGTCTTTGCATGGCTCACATGTTGGGCAGATGTGGAGAGGATCAATTTACAGCAAGGGCTGTAAGCTTTGCCGGGAACAGAACCACTGAGAGTTTTGATCAAATTTAGTGCATCATAGCATATAGATAAAAAAGAAGATTTTGTTGTTGTTGTTGTTGGGTTTAGTTTTTAGATAAACTGTAGTCAATTCTCAAATTATAGATCAGGAAATAAGATGCCTTAGTTGCAGGTGGGAAGTAGTGTGGATTTCTTACAGAATGGCCAAGATAATGCAGGGCTATGACCACAGCATTTAATATTAGAAAAGCTTTAAAAACAGAGGAGCAGGACAAACTAGGTAGATACCTGGTTGTCCTTCTTAGCCTTTCACAAATAGATGAAATCTTTCTTAAGGGCAAGTTAGGAGATTCTAAAGGACAACTAAAGGTGGTGCTAGGCCTGTCCCTGCCACAGTTCAGAAACAGAAGGATCCTGTCTCAAAGAATGGATTCATCTAGCTAAGCTGCCATCAACATTGAGTCAGAGCGGGAAGTGAAGTAGCTCCACAAACTAGCATATAATCCTCTTCCTCTGGGTACAAAAGGTAGCAAAAATCAATGACTGCTACTTAAGAGGTTACGCCTGTATCTTTGAACTGTTCACGACTGGGAACGTCTTAAAAAAATTTTCCAGTAACTAAAAATTAAAGGACTTAAGCCTTGGAAGAATTAGAATCTTTCAGATAGTGCCTGCTGTATCCAATAGCAGAAAATTCATGTAGTGCTACTCCACCATAATGATTAGAGATTTCCACCCTGTTGTATGATTACTTTCTGCCAATGTTAATCCTGTTCTCATTGCAAAAGTCTCTCGTAAGCCAAATTCTACTTTTTAGTTACACTAGCTTGCCTCTATTGCCACAAATCACAGAATCACAGAATGGTGGAGGTTAGAAGTCCTGTATATGCCCTCTGTAGTTACTGGACAGAAATAAAACCTTAAGAAAAGAAGTTTTGCTATCCCAATGCAAATGAATTGACTGGCTCTTTGGAGATGCTTTTCTTTCTCTCCAGTAACTGTGGAAGGGACTCAGCTAACTAAGACTAGACACCAATTTTTAGAAGACTGTAATAAGGTAAAGGTACTAATACTGGCAGGACTTGGCACTCACATGGTTTAATTTTAACAAACTTGCGCAAATATCAAGGTACTACTAAAAGCTGACCAATTCTGGATGTAAATAATCACTTGAATGTAGAACAGTACTCTGTTACAAGCATGTTGTTGATGTTTGGTTATTTGCAGAAAATGAAGTTCCATAGTGATCAGATATGCAGAATGGTAATTTCCTGAAAACTGAGAATCCTGTCTATGTAGAAATGCTTCTGCTTGACTGCTGGGATTATTTGAACCACCTGACCTGAGGGAATTTTTTTTCCTGTGACAGTCTAGTGTCTCCTAATGTTGAAGAGATATTTTGACATATATATTTAGTGGTGGGGAAGGCTCATTTGTCTCTACTGGAATTGTTCTCCCTCCTGGGACTCTTTAAGCCACCTCAGCCTGGCTGATGTGTCATCTCTTACTTGTGAAGACATTGTTGAAGAGAAGTTTGGGCCTAAGTTGCATGAACTATCAAAAGATTTTAACAGTAGCGAATAGATTTCGTGCTGTGTCCACATAGTCTCTTTGGCCTGCACCATCCTATATGACTGATCAAAAACTGAAGAAAATTACTAAAAAAATAGAGAATGAAAGCATGCATAAATGACTTTTTTGTCACTGTATCTGAATGTTCTTTTTTTTTTAATTTGTAGCTTCTTACAGTTTCAAGTATGATGCTGTATCCTGTATATACAAGCCTGTCTTAGTCACTGAATGACATAGGGCAGCATTTAAATGAAAAGACCGTTTTATGGCTAAAGCACTTGGTGACTGATTTCAGGCGTTGTGCCAAAATTCCTCTGTATCTTGGACAATTTTACTAAGACCAGATTGCATACTTTTTGCAGATACCATTCAACAGTTACTCAGTGAGTAGCCAACTGACTTTCTATTTTGATCAGGTTCTCCCACCCCTAATTCACAGTGGCAGAATTTTATTCTGTTGGGTAGACCTGCTCATTTTAATGAGACTTCTTTCAGAATACCACTTAGTGTGAGCAGGGATGGCAGATCTCACAACACAAGGGTACAATATATTTGTTTTCCATGTTAAAAAAGGGAGTGAAGGATGCAACTGTTAATTCTGCCTCCAAGGTTCTGATATCATACTAGGAAGAGATTGAGGGTAAATTTTTTCATCTTGGATGCAGCAAGGATAAGAAAGTCTAACCCAGGATATAACCTGTATCTGGAAAGATGCCACTGTTACACATATCAACACCAGTAATTTAAATCTTTGGCCCTTCTAAAATAAACTAGCCAAATTAAAAAAATTAATACGTATGATCAGCAAACATACAGATTTGACTCTGTGTCTGTGTTCTGGGGTCACCCACTAACATATTGCTTGACTGCTTTTGAGTCTCGGAGCCTTAGTTTTCCCATTTACATGTCAAGTATAACAGTGATTGATCTGTCTCTCATGGGCACAGTGAAAATTAGTATTTATAGGTGTTTTAAAATCACTCAGTAAAAATGACTGATGGATTCATTACAAATCCTTCTTAGTCACTGATACAGTCCAGAAATAAATCTTCCTTAGAGTTCAGAATTTTGAGCACAGCTTTATCAGGGTTTTAAAAAAAAGGAATTTCTGTGTCATGTAATTCAAAAAGAAAAATCTAAATAAAAATTGTGCTGCATTGCTTCCTTCCCACTCTGGAATTTCAACATCACTGTTCTTTTCACAAATACTTTTTTGGTCATATGTCTACATTGCACACATGAAGTTAGCTGCAAGTACTAGAAGGGGTCTCACCGAAGTCTCACCAAGGCATTGCCACGCACATGATTGATATAAATATTCTGAGAAGCAAAAGAGATTACATTCATTTGGGACTTACTCAAGTATTGTTTTTCAATATTGACAGTGTGATAAAGAAATAAAGATAATAAAGGAATTTTTCTTCTGGGAAATTGGGTCCCATGTCAGTTGAGAAGTCTCTTTAATGTCAGTCAAAGTTGAAGCAAATTCAAAAAAAGTTGCTTACAAAAGAAAAAAGGGAAATACAATTTCTGAATTTGCAAATACCTATGCATATGCTTATTTCAGTCCTATTCAGCTTGATCATGACAAATTATTTCCTTTCATAGTGCTTGGGGCTTCAGACTGTTCTCCAAGTTCACTGTAAATGTTATCAAGAAAGAAAGAAAGTGCCAAAAAGCTGAAATTGAAATATATTAGCTCTTTGGAAACTTTGAGGATTAAAATCCAGCAGTGCCTTTTAAAACCCATAAATCTAAAGAAGTTCATGTTTCATTTCACTGTCTTCGGTATTTTGGGTGTACGTTTGCACTGCTTCCTTAATAATATACTGATTTGGAATGTCTCCAGCTAAATTTACTTCCCTTGTGAATTTTTTTCCTTAAGAGAAAAAAAAATCCACTCAAAAAGAAGTAGTGCACCTGCTCATACTTTATGTGTGTTTCATAAATGCAGTTTAGCATCTTGCACTCTGTCATAAGCACTGAATTTATCATTTGAGCTTTAAACATACAAAATCTAATCTGTGTTTAATTTGCTCGTGTCACCTCTGATGGTATTATTCTTTAAAAAATCAAGAAGGTAGTACCACTGAGTTACAAACTACTGCTTGAACCGAGGGTTTTGCTCAGCTCCTGCAGGGTTAATTTTCATGTCTAAAAAATTGTTTTGTTTGGGTGTCCTCTAAAACCCATTTTAATTTTTTTTAAAGGTCTGGGTTAACCATTGAAAGTATCTTCCAAAACTGGCTTGACACTTCTGGAATACCAAAGGTAAATGCAAAATATCTGTTCTCAGTTTTTTCTGGAGACTTGCATTCCACATAATGTTGTATGTTATTTAATCATTACCTTTAAGTTATAACATGTATGGTTTTAGGTGAATTAGTTTTGATGATGACTGATTTCCATGTCTTTATACAGCGTTAATATGGGCTTAGTTTTTATCGGTTGCATGTCTTCACTTCTACCATCATCTCAAAGAACCTACCAAAGGGCAAATCTTATCTTATTGCTTAATATTCTAGTCACTGGGAAGTAGGCTATATAGTATAGTGGTGGAGTCTACTAAAAGTAAGGAGCATTGTTCACAGATGTCAGTATGTGAATTACTGACAGCCATACTGACAACAATAATTTCACTAAATGTTAAGTTATTTGTACTTCAGTACATTGCGAATATTGTGACTTGCTTATGAATCTGCTGCATGGCTAACAGGTATTTCATTGGTGTTACAGCACAGGTGTAGGTGAGACTGAGCATTATTTTCTGGCTTAGTGTTTTAAATTCTGTGAACTTAAGTGCTTAATTTTCTGTGCTGTACAAAGGATCTGGTTATTGGTTTTGGTCCAAAACGGAGATCAGCTGAAGAAAGATTTTCCTGGATAAATCTTCCTAAAAACAGCTTTGCACAAAATCTGTTTTTATTATACACTTGGAGCTCAATGTATAACTGATTTCCCCTAAGCTGGCACCAGTTGCTTGGGATTTGTCTTACCTGGTGCATTGCGTTTGTTTCCACTTTGCGTTAGCAATACTTAAAAAGCTTTTAAGAGTCTGTAGCTCCTCGTTTGTGTGCAAACATACAGTGCACATATGCAGCAAGACTGGGGCTCTGTGGAGTCAGCACATTTGCAGATGGAGTTGTCAAAATAGCTGGAGAGCTCAAAATGATAAGGAGTGGTCGCTCTGCCCTTGGCCGCTTTAGAGAAAGGGTGCTGTACGTGTCCGTTGTGCCCCTGTATCCTATAGGGGCTTCTTTTGGAAGCTTTGTCCTGAGATCAAAATATTCTAGGAATAATACTTGAAGAGGCCAGAAAATTCAGGGTGAAGTTTGGTTTCTTTTGCTGTAAAATTTTTGAAAAGAAAATTAACATTAATTGGAAGGGGGGAAGGAGAGTAAGTATTATCATGTATCATGACGTTCTGTCATTTCTTGAAGAAAGGTGTTGGTTTTTAAGACTACATATTGATCAAGGATGATTTTTGATACTACGTCTTGATCAAGCTTTTGTTCCTGATAGAAAATTCCATACTTTGTAGAACAGCTGCTCTAAGTAGAGGGGAGAAACTAGTATTAGTTGTGAGATGCTGAACTGGCACTCCAAAAGCAAATGGTTTTCTGGCATTTTACTTACAGGCATCTCTTTCAGGATGTTTTATTAGTATCCCACACTCAACTCTAAAATCACAAATAAGAAGAGTAGGAGCAGACTAAAGAACTGAAAATAATTTTGATTAATGTGAATACTGAACTCTCTGTTTACCTGAGTGTGTACCTTAAACTGTCCAGCATGACCAGCAAGTAGTTTCATTATCCCCTGTTAAGTATCTATTGGGTGTACAAGCAAAACATGTAGTAAAAATATTTCCACATCCAGCAGGCTTGTAAATCATTGCAGAGTTTCTTTAAAGACCAAAGAGATTTCCCTGGGAGTTTGGCTGGTCTGTAAAAATAACAGTGTCAACTGGAATGGTACTGATTTAGTATTCTGCTTCCTTTGAGAATCAGCATGCTGACCTCTTCCCTCTGTCTCTCTCTTCCATCAATAACCTTTTTGATGATTTACCCTTGTTGCCTTCAGCATTTCTCATGCTCTTGCGGGAACCGGTCTCCACTTTATTGAAAGGAATGGAGTTGTCGTTCAGTGAAAAGGAAACCTTGTTCACTTAGTGCTTCATTAAATCATAGCAGGGGGAGGAAGCCCTTATTCCCGAAATCAAGACTGTAGAGGTTGCTTAGTTCAAGACATTAGTTTCTTATATAATCTAAATATGGCTGTATTTACTGACTGTAGAACTGCAATCTAAATCTACTAGTGTGTTGTACAGGAACTGATACAGAAACCCACTTAAAGTATTTAGATTATCCTTTTCCAGCCAACTGTTAACTTGGCTAACATGATGGATCAAGGCTGGCAAAGGCATAAAAAGCACTTGGTTACATCTGTGATAACTACCTGCATCATAACTGGCAGCCCAGCAATGCAAAACAGATTTATCCTCTATCACATGGGTTGGGAGGTGAGCGGACTAGGGTGGGAGTAGAGGAAGGCTCCTTGCTGCTCCTTTAGGTTAGGTGAGAGGGCTGAGTCGGAAAACTAGTGTTAGCTTTATGGGGGACCGAGCTGACAGTTGCAGTTGAGTCCCTTTCTTAAACAGTGGAGCAACTGAACAGGAGTTGGTGAATCTCAGTTCCCAAGGTGTCTCAAGGACGGAGCAACAGCATCCTTTGCCCTACCCATGACTCGGCAACTTTCTGCTCATCGCCCTTATTTTGCCAACAACAATATAGAACCTTACAGCATGGGAGTCAGAGTCACTCCTAATCCTGCGGCGCTTGCTCTTTAGAGGGTTTGATATCATTCAGGACAGTTGCACTTGCTAGTGTTTCAGTAGATACCTACGAGAGATAATTTGATTGAGAACACCCGCAATTTAAAAACATTAAATTTGCAAAAACTGTCTAAGACTCTATTTTATTTAGAGATGAAACTTTCTTACTGAAGAGACTATTCTGTGTAGCGAGATGGGGAAATACACATCCAGCTGTCCATTCTGAAAATCAGGTCAGGGCATAGTTCCTTTATGTCTCTACCATATGTGAGTGTTTGTTTCATAGTGGCTCTGGTTGTTACCATGGCATCTTTTATTTTTATATTTTGGTGGTTTCTGCTCAGGAAATTCATGTGAGTCACTGAATATAAAGAAAACTCATTACTCCTAGCTCATTTAGAACATTATCTACCAAAGTGTTTTTAAGCAATTTCTTCTTTGGTTATATCCAAATCTATCACCTCTACACTGCTGGTATGCTGTAAAATTTGATAACAAGACATAGCAAGAGAGTTAGTAGCCCACTCCCTCAGTTCGTTATCCTCATGCCAATGTCTAGCTTAAGGACATTGGCTCGGTCCTTGTGCAAAAGATGGATGAGAGTAACTACTTTCCACTCCTTAGGCTGCTGAAGCGACGTTACTTAACATCTTAATTCCAAGGGAGGAATTAGCGTTTTGTATTCCTTACAGTCATCGGTCATGGCATCAGTGTAACGGAAGATTCTTTTTTCCCACCTGTGGCCTGTTCCATTTCTTGCCCCAAATCTTGTCTCCACACGCTGTGCAGGTAACCATATAAATATACTGCTTTATACTTGTAATGTATAACTAGAAAAGCTTTCATATTTGTCAATTTCTTATACTCTTGGAAAGAGCATTTTGTCTTTTTCTAGTTATTGGGCCAGTTTCCAAGCTCATACATACCCAGTACCAATCAACAGTATCTCCACTAAAGTTAGGGAAGTCATATTGATAAATAAACCAGAATTTGGCTTACTGCCTCGAAAAAAAAATCTGCATGCCAAGTTACACTTCCAAATTCTGTATTTTTTAAAGCATTAAAGGTTAACCTTGCAAAGGAGGGTGTGTGGTAACGACTGGCCAATCTTTCCTACATGGAAGAATGCCACAGCTCAGTGGTTCTCTTCTGGCTTGCTGTGCAATAAGGTTTTCTCACACATAAAACAATAAGCAACGTAAGAGATGAAAAGCAAACATTTCTGAAATACAAGCTTCCAGAAGGATTTTTTTTTCTGGGATCACATTGTGGCTGTGTTAAATAAGATGAAGCATGTTGCATTGTTGAAAATGCCGTTTATCAAATCAAGTATCAGCAACCTTCAGCATGTACTTAAGTCTCAGAGGTGACTCACCAGGGGATTATAGCAACCTTTCATCCTGTGTGAGGCTAGTAATGACTTAACACCACTAACTTTAGTCAGTGAGTTAAGCTGGCAAGGAGCAGAGTCAGAAGAACAAAACAGCATTTAGAGCTGGAAAACACCTTATGAGAGCACTTCAGTCTACTTCATCCCTGCCACTGATGACTTGTTCTCTAACGCATAGTTTCTGTTGTATTTTCCAGTCTATGTGGTGGGTTTGCCTTTGTTTAATTAGAGCTTAATACTAAAATAACAGATGTTTTTGAGGAAGATTTTCTTCTTTTTTTTTTTCTTCCTTAACTTAAAATGCTCTTCTGTGGTAAAGTAGTAGTTTAAGTCCCATCTGCTATTATTATTTGTAAACCAAGTCTATTTCTAGAAGTATATGGTCAAGAGAATTCTTCCATTGGTGAATATTCATTTATTGACAGTATTTTTGGTTTTGTTGGTACATCGGACATGTTGGTACATTGGACATGTTGGTACATTGGCTCTTGGATTGTCCTATTTGAGGAAGAAATGGATTGGATTGGAAAAGAGACTCATAGCAAAACTTCACAAAACCATTAAAAATTGAGCAAAAATTATGGTTTGTAAAATATCCCAAAACAATACCAGTAATGGCTTTTTGTGGCTTTATAAATTTTAGGAGGATGTTATAGTAGCAGCTCAAGTACTTAGTATGATTTCTGATAAAGCAGTTTGTTACTGAGAGGGTTCCTGTCTTTTGCCCCTATTATAAACTTTATAGATTTCTTGTTTCCTTTTACTAAAAGGAAATGACTGACGAAGGGATAGCTCTACAAGAGAATGCGTCATAGGCTAGATGTTACAGTCAATTACTAAGAAAGCAGGCAAATCCAAACATTTTAAAAGAATGCTCTTGCTATAATTCTGAATGACATTTATCAGTTATGTACCTAAGTTTTACAAAGCAGATTAGAAAATCTTTCAGCAGAAAAAATCAGTCTTACTGGATCAGTGTGTAGCTTAAGGCTTATGTGTAACTTAATACTTTTTTTGTCATTCCTACTCATGCCTTAGCTTGTAATA